ACAGAAGCAAGTGGAGGCGTGCAGTTGAAGCCCTATGTTCCACTAGGAACCCAAGGGAACAATAATAATAAATTGTAAATTGTTATAAGATGTTACAGAGTTGGTAGGCTTAGTGTAAAATCACAAAGGTTGACAAAATTAAGGGTAACAATGAGGTGAAATAAACTGGGTGGAGAAATGGATAATAAAGACATGATATCACAGAATGATAATAATGGTAATAATAATAATACGGAAAATTATGATCCTGGTGACCTTATAGTGGGCCAGGGTAGACAGAGAGAGTGAATAAGTTTTTTCTGTACACACAAGTCTGTTCTTTCTCTATTAATCTCTAAAGCCTCAGCTATGGCTAGGAGGCGTAATCGTGTGCCTTTGGGGAGATTGTTTGGCACTCGATACACAACTGTAAATGACCCTTCTACTTTGATGCTGTGTTCGCTATCCACTAGATGAGCCAGTCACTTTGTTGACTTGACTTTGTTGAAAACATTAAAGATATGAACTTAGCAGACAAAACTATGTTATCGCTGGACGTAACATCACTATTTACCAACGTCCCCCTTGTAGAAACTGTCGACTACATATGCGAGCAACTCGTAGAAAAGAAAATAGAAATCGGAATCACACCAAGAAAATTGAAAGAATTACTACTAAAATGCACTATGAACGTTCAATTTGTATTTAATAAGGAGTATTACCGCCAAATAGATGGGGTTGCTATGGGTTCTCCCCTTGGTTCCTTATTAGCTGACATATTTCTATCTAAATTGGAAAATGGCCGTTTAAAAGAGATACTAAACAAACTCGATTATTATTGTCGATATGTTGACGATAAGTTTATCATTTGTAACAATAATCAAGATAGACAACACCTGCTCCAAGTCTTCAATAAGGTACACCCAGCTATTAAATTCACTTGTGAAGAGGAACTCCAAGGTAGTATTCCATTTCTGGATGTTCTTCTTACAAAAAGAACAGACGGTACCTTAAAGAGTAACATCTATAGGAAAGCGACGTGGAATGGACAATACACCCACTTCCATAGCTTCATACCTATACAATATAAGCGCAACCTAATTCGTTGTCTTAGTCATAGAATTAGGCGCATATGTACCGACGACTGCATTGAAGATGAAATAAAAAATCTCACAAACGCCTTGCTACAGAACGACTATCCTACCAACTTTGTAAAGAAGTATATCTATGAAACTACACACAAAACTAAGCGAGACACAGTAAGTAAGAAAAAGCTTTACTTAAATTTACAATTCAAAGGCGATATATCCAGCGATATATTAAACCGTAGATTAACGAGAGCAGTTGAAAGAACTTTCAGTGCCGCAAAACTGCATGTCACTTTCTCAACCAAACCGATATTGACACTGTGCATTAAAGATAGATTACCCAAAATGACGACATCAATGTGTGTATATAAATTCAACTGCTCCTGTGGAGCTAGTTATATAGGTCGTACCCAAAGGAATTTATCTTTACGCACTCGTGAACATATTCCTGTTTGGCTTGGGAAAAGAGCAACCAAATCATTAAATAGTGCAATTCTGGCTCATCTAGTGGATAGCGAACACAGCATCAAAGTAGAAGAGTCATTTACAGTTGTGTATCGAGTACCAAACAATCTCCCCAAAGGCACACGATTACGCCTCCTAGCCATAGCTGAGGCTTTAGAGATTAATAGAGAAAGACCAGACTTATGTGTACAGAAAAAACTTATTCACTCTCTCTGTCTACCCTGGCCCACTATAAGGTCACCAGGATCATAATTTTCCGTATTATTATTACCATTATTATCATTCTGTGATATCATGTCTTTATTATCCATTTCTCCACCCAGTTTATTTCACCTCATTGTTACCCTTAATTTTGTCAACCTTTGTGATTTTACACTAAGCCTACCAACTCTGTAACATCTTATTACAATTTAGCCTCTTTATTTTATCATTAGACATTATCGGTCAGCCCTCACATTCAGTGTCCCCTTTGTTAATGTGTGTTTGTATGTATTTTGTGGTTATCGCATTTCTCTCACCCCAATGACACTTGTATTCTGTTGACTATAAAACAGCACTATATCACCCAATTGTTCATTCACACTTCATCACATTTTTCTGACTATACACCCTATACACATTTGATTGATTATGTTAACTAATGGACTATCATCTCAACTTACACATGCACCCCAATACAGTTTCTGATATTATTTTCATTTGCCTTTATTGGCTATATGTACTCTATTATTCATGGATTTATAACTGTAGAGCCTGAAGAAGAAGTTATCGAAAACAATTGTTCGCTCAAAATCTTGTTTTGATTTCAATATGGGGATATTTCATTTACTGAAACTTTTTATTTACTCTTTTCACCTACCACATAACTTATTTTGATGACACTTGTTCCCATGCTCACTCATGTTAACATCCAACTCTTCTGAATCCCTTTTAATATTACGTAATCCTAGTCAAAACTTACTGATCTCTCACACACCCACCACCCACATTAGTTACAACTTTGATTATTCATCGCATTTTTTGAAAAATATTTTTGATGACATAAACAATAACCCGAATTAAATTTCTATTCTTGTTTGACAAACCTAATGTACACACACATACATACAAAAAAATTATGTATAATTGAGATTGTACAGCTAAACAAATGAATTCGCTGAAAAGAGGCTCTTTTGCTGAACTGTTTGTTCTTATTTCCAATTTAAGATACAACCTAGTGTGTAATAAAAAGGTCTGGAATTCACCAGAGATTGTCTTCTGGTAGTAACGCAAGAGGACATAGTGAACTCAATGGAGGAAAGAGTAGTACAGAATCAAAATATGTGATCTGCTCTTCATACTCTAATTGGCAACCCCCAAAAAGCAAGCAAAATAGCATGCGGTAGCACTACTGATTGATGTGAGTATTTGAAAACCACTCATAATAATAGGTAGAATTCTACTGATTTGAACCGACTTGACCCTTAGTGAGATGAGTCGATTCAGATACACCAGTGATGAGACCAACTCCAAATGAGTGAAACGACCTGACAGTGTCTGAATCACTTCGACCTGGCTAGCGAGTACTCCTGCTTGGCAATAAGTGGTATATTAGATGGTTGGAGGCAACTGGAAGGAAGCTCAGCCTAACTTAGGTTTCGTGCTTGTTGTCACTCACCAACCAGTAGTCAGCAAGGCATATCTGCAACCGCCTTGAAGGAACTCATGTCCCTTCTGAGATTCGAACGCGTGTCACGCAGTGCTGCAGTCAAAGACGTTATCACTGAGCTATTTCGGGGGTAGCGATTGGACCTCCTGTAGGACTGTGTTGGATGCTTCGATTAGACACTGACTAGTGTCAAGCGTCTTGTCCTTTGTTTGCTGCAGACTAAACACTATCAGTCATGTTTGCAATGTAGCCACCACACCACTAGGTGGCTCGCCATCACGATACAGTGTGAATTGTTGGTATTAGATCGTTGGAAGCAATGGGTAGATACGCCTTGTCGACAAGTGCCAGGAGGCACGAAACTTACTCATAAGGCTTTCACCTGATCACCTCCAACCATCTAATAACAACAATTGAGAGAGCATCGTTATGGCGAGCCAGCTAGTGACATGATGGTCACATTGCAAACTTGACTGATAGATTTCATTTCTGCACAAAAAAACAAAGGAACAGACGCATGACACTCGGTCAGTCGGTCGGTTTTCGACATAGAACTTTGCACATATGTGTGGCAGTTCAAGTCGCCACAATCCATGTAGCACACAAAGCAAGAGAAGAAAGTAGAAGAAATGCATATTAGAGACAAAAAAACAGAGGTGTAAGACAAAGGAATATTAATAACGAAGAACAAAACAGTTTAATTCGAAATCATAAGTCACAAGGAGTGGATGCATCTGCGCCAGTCATTGAGAACGATTTTGAGCCATGTCACCAATTGTTTCCAACCATTGGTTTTTACCGTCCCGAGGACCCCAACCAGTCAGGAAGTCTACACCTTCCTACGTGGCTTAGACGAACTGTTGTAGATTTCATTGACTGGTGCCATGTTTTCGTTTGACCGCCGCTAGCTCTTTTCCAGCCTGACCCTATATCAGCTAACATTGGCCGTTATTCGAGGAAGGTGATGACTAGGCATACGTAGCACATGTCCTAACCATCTCAGTCGCATGACACTAGTCAGTGTCTAATCAAATGACTGGTTTCCCAAATACTGATATCAGTCAAACACTATCATGCTAAACACTAGCACAAGTTAGAATACAGATACCTACAGAAAATAAAAACATATATATGAGATATTGAAGAACCAAACTGTTTAAATCCCCTTAGATTTTTAACCACATTTGTAAGTTTATTTTAGGTCTATTGGAACAACTATAGAGAATCCTTACAAACCAACTATAGAAACTTAATCTAATGCTCTCTAGTGACTTGTTACAGGATGGAGTTTCCTGGAGTTCTAGTGAGAAGTTGTGACCAGTGAGGTCCATCCAGTCAAGTGTGAGGATGGATGTCCTACTGATGACATTGATTGGTGGTCGCGCTAAATCACGAATTGACAGAAGTTAGAATTCATGGGCTGGCCATTGAATCGGATGGGTCCCAGTGGCTGAATGGTGGTATACGAGTTTGCCTTGTAACCGGAAGGTCCTGGGTTCGAACCCTGGCGGTGGGTGCATACTGCCGCTGTTTCCAAAACTAGGATGAGATAGCTGTCCAGTACTCCAGTGCTGGTTTTCAATGGTCCTCTAACTGATATCAATCCGTGATCAACTCATAAAAACAAAACTAATCGTTACAAACCAACTATAGAAAACTATAAAGAATATTAGCAACACATTTATACAGATTTCGATTAAGTTTCAGTGATCTGATCAGCTGCTAGGTATGAACGCATTACGATTTCCAAATGACAGAACAAAATTATCACTATGGTATACATATATATAGAGGGAAGTAAAGAGCATCGCATCACTTACCTACAATACGATGAATAAGATAAGATTTTCCTGTCCCTGCACCACCAGTACAGAAGACATTATGACCTTGTTTTACAAAATTAATCACAGACATTTGTTTATCTTGACTCGACGTTTGGCTAGAAGTATTATCATCCGATCCCCATAGGTCGAAAATATGACCAAATGAACGATCTTTCCTTTCCGGTTTTTTTGCCTCAGCTTTGCGTACAGGAGTGGAGACAAGAGGTGTTGACTGTGAAGATTTACGCTTGGGTGTAGTTGTAGGTGATGAGGAAGCTATAATTGATAGAAGTAGACAATGATGCAGTGAATTCTCAGTTTAGCTTGAATTACTAACTACAAATTATGAATTTAAAATAAGCCTATTTTGATAAACAATAATTTCATAAACACAGATTATTGAAGAAGACATTCAAATAAGTGAAAGAACATAGAGTGACTTAATTTGTAGTTACTTTTACTTTACCTCTGAGAGAAAAATTACTAATTCATAATAATAATATTCTCAAAAGTTGGTTTGTAAGGATTAGATTTATTTTTACGAGTTTGACCACGGATTGATATCATTTAGAGAACCACCATTGAAAAGCAGCACTGGAGTACTGGACAGCTGTTTCATCCCACTAGTTCGGGAATCATCGGCAGTACGCACCCACCGCCAAGGCTCGAACCTGGGACCTTCCGGTTACAAGGCAAAATCGTATCCTACCATTCAGTCACTGGGGCCCGATTCAGTGGCCAGCCCATGAATTCTAACTTCTACCGATTCGTGATCTAGCGCGACCACCAACTGGGTTCGAACCCTAGTGGGTGCCGACGATTCCCAAACTAAGATGAAATAGGTGTCCAGCACCCCAGTGCTGGTTTTAAATGGTTCTCTAACTGATATCAATCCGTGGTCAAACTCGTAAAAGTAATAATAATAATAATAGTAAAGCAAATATGTATTACAGAGTTGCATGTTTTCATTAATAACTCCGAAAACTGAACCAGGATTTATAAAATATAAACTGATGAACTTTGGAGGGATGTAGGTTATTACCATGTATTATTATTCCCTTGGGTTCCGGGTGGAACATACGGCTTCAGCTGAACATCACCACTTCATCCCGTTCTCTGCAGTCCTCTTTAGCTGACTCAACGACTGCCCATAAGCTCTCATCTCCTCCTCCTCACACGATCTCCACCATGTCACACTCGGACCAACGCCCAACACGCCGTTTTCCATTCGGGTTCTACTCGAGGTTATGTCTGGCGCGCGATGTGATTCGACGGTCACCTCAGTGTGTATCCAGTCCATCTCTATTTTCTTCGGGATATTCGTTGAGTATTAGGTTGTTGATTGCTTCGTTCCACTGCAGAGTTCCTTGTTTCTAATTCTTTCTGTCTGATCTTCAGTATGGAGCCAGTGAAGTGGGCAGTTGTTGATAAAACTCTGAAGTAGGCTTGATGATATTAGATAGTCGGAGGCAATCGGCAGGAAGCCTTGTATCTAGGTTTCGTGCTAGTTGGCACTCCCAGTCAGCAAGGCGTATCTGCAACCACCTTGAAAGAACTCATATCCCTTCTGAGACTCGAACCCGCGTCACCTAGTGAGTGCTGCAGTCAGAGACGTTACCACTGAGCTATTCGGGCTCGTAGGCTGTTGGAAATGATTTCGGTGACGTGTGTGCTCAGTTTCTGACCCATAAAGAAGGATTAACTTACATGGGTGTCGGAAATGAGTTTTGTTCTTTATGCTGAGTGATAAGTAAAGGAAGTGAGATTTTTCAAATCTCTTCCGTTAATAGTGATTGGTGCTTGTTGCCGTTATTTCGGGGATTTCTAAGGACAACTGGGATACAAAAATATCACTGGCTTAATTTACTTTCATGCTTAGAACCATTTTAAACAACTCAGCAGAATAACTAGGACAACTTCTCATTACATACACAAACTGATGACTAGTAAGACTGAGATTTCCAGCCAAAGTTGATTCTGTTGTATACAAACACAAGACTTAAGATAAAGGTCAACAAACAGAACGAAGATTAATTCAGCTAGCATCTAACTGGAAAGTATGTTATTGTTTTAATTAAATTTTATCAAAATACCAACTAAAGACCAAGAATGAATGTTGAAATATGCCAAAATTTGGATGCTATCACACATTGTTCTTACCTTCTTGAAAATTTATCACTGACATATCACAAGGAAATGGTTCTGTTGATTTCATTAGATTAGAGCGTGGGATTTTTTTAGGAGGCGGTAATGGACTGATTTCTTCCAAAAGTGAAATAGATGTCGGTGGAGCATCTGGCACGCCTGGTCGTTTTAATGGTTTATTCACTTGTTCATTGAATTTAGTACGAAGAGTACCAAGAAAGAAACGCAGTTTATCCGGTGGACAATTGCTAATCATAATCCTTACAGAATGAACTGGTAAACATATGGTTGCCTTGCCTTGAGATAAAAAATTCTTGTAAAGATTTAGCTCAACGACAGGATAGCCTAAACTTTTTGTGATCATTTGTTTACTGCCGGAGTTTTCTAAAGGTGTTATACGAATAAGAATTCGTTGTAAATCATCTCTGACTGCGGATATTTGAGATTCACGAAGTGTAATACGCCGACTGACAGTACATTTATCAGCAGCTAATTCTTCAACTACCACAGAACAACGTACAGATAATGACATGAAGTAACTGAAATTGAAGTAACAAAAACAAAAATCAATTATCTAAAAACAAACGTCGATTAAATAACCTTTACGAAAAAGTGAAGCCACTTTTCATAAAATATCATGACTAATAAAGCTCAGTACCCAGGGAAAAATGGAGTATATAATCTCTCATTGTAGTTACTGACGTAATAGATACATCTCGAAATAGAAGATATGTGTGAAAATATACACGATAACCCTAAATAACTGTAATGTGAACTTACAAATGAATAAGATCTTTCATGTAAGTGAACTATACAAAGATATTTTTGGTGGGTAACCAATAAGACTTTTCCGAAACTATACACAATCATAGCCTAATAATCTTAAAGAGGGGAAATCAATAGACGAGGCTGTGAAGTTACATCAACTGAGATGGTTAGGATATGTGTTACGTATGTCTGTCTAGCCATCACTCTCCTCGATGGGCAATGTTAACTGAAATAGGATGGATCAGGTTGGAAAAGAACCAGTGGTGGTCAAACCAAAACATGGCTTCATAGATCGACGAAATCCATAACAGTTAGTTTAAGCCATATAGGGAGGTGTAGACTGGGTTCCCGGTTGGAGTCCTCGGGACGGTAAACACCAATGGCTGAAGATAATTGATGATATGGCTTAAACTCATCGTTTTCAATGGCTGGCACAGATGCATCCACTCCTTGTGACTTATAATTTCCAATGAAACTATTGTTCTTCAATGTTCCTATTCTATTTGCCCCATATCTCTGTTTACTGTCTCTGTTTTGCATTTTGTTTTTACTTTTTTCTCTTGCTCTGTGTGCTACATGGAGGGAGTGTAACCACTCGAACTGCTGCACATCAGTGCAAAGTTCTATGTTGAAAACAGACAACAATAATCTGTGTCATTTTTTAATTTAGATAACTATTATCATGATATGAATCATTAGTCTTTCCAAATCTTATTCTGAAATAAGCACCTTATTTTAGGAAATATTCTCCAACACTGATTACTGATTATGTTATGCGTGAAATTTCAGAATGAAATTAGTAACTACTAACACTGCGTTTATCTGTAGTGAAAGTATTAACAATTTACAATATTCACTTGTTACCACGTAAGTGCAACAATAGATCTGTACAATCAGTATGCTGACTATTTATCTTCAAAGAACCTTGAAGACTCAACTCGTTATAAAAATGTATCCCATCAATAAAATTAAACGAAATTATGTGATTCATGTAAAACGGTAGCGAGCATTTCAGCTATCACTCTTCGTGATGATCACGATTACTATTTATTGAGAATTTAAGAAGTAGAGGTAAAATGCAGATAATTGTAGCTATCAATAAACGTAACAACTACTGGAGGAAATACCAGTAGTTCTAAGCATATTTATAACTAAACATCCTTCTTATAGAATATGAAATGATCCCAGCAACTGGACGCACTGTAATAGCATTTTATCAGATTTGTGTTTATGTAATCATTTTATGACAAGAGGTTACTAAATTAAACACTGCATTTGTAACTGATTTTAATATGCACACCATATTAGAGAAAAAAACTATTACAAAATTTGATAAGTAGATAGTTTTAGAAAAATGCACCTGTTTCGATTATGAGGGCAAAAATACTTACAACACAAAGGATACACAGATATAAGAATAGAAATTATGCAATTTGGTAGAGTATAACTCTACTATGAATAAAATTTATTTTGATGAAGTCTCAGTGTTATACAGTAATATTTACTGATGACCACGTTCCGAGCACAATTTATTGCTCATATCATGGTCACCTTGGTGATACAATGGAGTGATACAGAGATAACTACATTAAGTTTAGATAACCCACTGCGTTGGATAAATGAGCCTTTTGTACAACATGAAAGGAAATAACTTTAATGGACTAAGTAGCAATGTTACTTGGTGAAAGTCTTAACAAGCAAAAGAGCTAGGGCTGCAATCAGTAATGGGCAAGGACTTTTTATAAGTTCATGTACTTATGACCAAAAATAAATTTAGTCTTTGTGATATAAAACAGGTCATGAAGTAGATAGGAGATAGTGGTTTAAAAATATTTCTTTGGCAACTGCAGTAAAATACTTCAGAGACCAGATACAATCGACAAAACGTGAAAAAATAACAGATTGGTTCACGTGGGCAGTGAAATAATATATATCATCAATCATATTGCCTATGATGATAGACTTTAAACTACAGCAGGCCAAAACGAAACTACCAACCAAAGGCATCAGAAGGAGAAGTGCGTAATTTGAAATGAACGTTTATATACAAGTAATGCGGTGTTTAAAAAAATGGTTCCATAGGATAATATTCTTTATGTATTCCAAAAAAACCTCCGATTTCTCACGAGTCGTCATATTCAGGTTAAACCGATTTCTGCAAAAAATTCGTCAAGGTCATCAATCCGTTCATTAAGTAGTTTCGTTTTGGGCTGCTATAGTTTTGTCTTGCTCAGTTCTTAAATGTTAATGTAAGAATGCAAACCAGAACAATTTAAATAATACCTTGTAAAGATCTTCTAGATATCCTAGTCGTTTCTGAGATGTCTGATAGCTTCAACGGTATTTTAAGCGCGCCTTAATTACATTAAAGATTTTCAGAAACAAACTAAAGATTTTATGCTTGGAATACATATTAGAAAGGGCAAAAAATAATCTGACTAAAGGGCTGAGATAGCATTTTATTCAAGGGCACTGCAGAATCTTCGAGGCGAAACCTCCGGGCGTATTGCGGAACGTGAGATAGTGTTCTGCAGTCTGCCCCAAACATTCTGCAATGCGCCCGAAGTCTTACTTAATTTCGTCTTCTCTCGTGAAAACTGAAATGATATCTAAATAAAGACCTATTATTTCGTGAACAATTGGTATTATGTTTGATTAATCCCTTTTTACAGATAGAATAGCACAAAATCAAGAGGCCATATACTTATCATTCCTATGAGATCACTGATGCGTTCACGCCTGCTCAGTGTCGATTGCTTACTTCTGACACTTTATTTTATACACCCGGCAAATCCAAACAAAAATTGCTGTATATATCTCAAAAGATAGCATTCAAAAAAGTTAACAAACCAGGTGAGGGAAAATGTAACGGAACCACGAAAAAACGCGGCCCTGAAAACTATGCCAATTAACGGAGGAGTAAAACAAATTCAAACTCTTATACCCATTGTGTGATAAAAGTGCTCTTATACAAACAGTGGTGCAGATTTCGCTAGTTATGAAAATGTATATGTAATATGGGGTATATGGACATCCTTACGAAGTGTGGTTATCTTGCTGATTGAAATTGTTCTCCTGCCGGCCACGTATATTCATTTCCACCACTGTGTTACTCACCCAGTAATTCATTCTTTGGCGTATGGCTGCTATAGTTCAATCTACTGTCAACTTTTTTTGCATCTTTGGGAATATTAGGAAATTCTTCACCCTAATTTCAATGTGCATAATTGTACTAACACACATTCATTTCAGAGGAACTTTGCAAAATTTAAGGTGTGTAATGAGAAATGGAGTTCAGAATATTTCATAAAAGCACAACTGTCCCACCTGTCAGCATTCATACGGCAGCACGTAGGAGTACAATAGCAATACTACGAGTTTTGGTTTTTCAAAACTAAATTTACCTCACATGAAAGCTGTTTTCACTTGAGAAATTAGTTTTTCGCAGCAGCTTGTGAAGAAACGGTATGATGCAGTCTGACAACTTACCACTGGTAAAATAATGGAGCCTTTATTTCGAGGTCATCCATTTCACACCAAAACAGGTCAGGTTCTAATTTTTATGATGCCTATGTAAACTGATGATTTTAGAGAATTTCAGTGCTCATTGACAAATAATCCCCGAACATATTTTCTTACATGATAAGGGATATTTAAAAAAACTTCTGTACACTACTATGTAATACGCCCCGCTGGAAGTGCTTCTGGAGTGGGATTAGTGTCACTGTTTCAAATTGAGTGCATGAACGTGACCCCTACAGTCCAACAACCTTGTTGAATATGTAAATAATGCAGGCGACACTCATCTCGTCGGGTGGGAAATGAAATTAACCGGATTTTTGCTGACTTCATACCAGTAGTTTTCCTTGATAACATGGTTTTTGGCACATCAGGTTGACTGAATTCTATAGGTACTGTGAACATATGCTATTCATATAAGGACTATACGTTCTCTATGCTTTCAAGGTTTCTATCTAACATTGAAGTGTATTAAATAACGAATCTCTTAGTTGTGACTGTCTAGGCTTTCTCGATTCACTTACCTTCCTGAGTAATTGCGGAACGCAGGTTAAATATTACCTTCAGCAAACGTTATTTCCGGTGAAGAAGGGATGTTGAAATTTTTAACGACAGAAGACGAGGGTCAGATAACAGATCGTTTATTGAGAAAATAAACATATATTTATAGATTTTTATAAATAAATAAATAAAATAAATAAATTTATTCTCATAGTACAGTACATGAGGGACGCCAGTTTACAGGCATCATCAAATTGTTACAGAAATAGAACCATATAATTCAATCACAATTTACAGGCAGTAGCAAGATATGCTTTACATGTTCGCTGGAGATTATACATACACTTGATAAATGTTAATCCCAGTAGTATAAAACAGCCTTTTCACTTATATACAATCATTTCTGTGCAAAGTTGGAAAAATCTGCTAGATTGTCAGTGAGTGCAACACATCAGGAAATACAGGAGTATTGTCTTCGCATTAACAAAAAAACCAGGTCTTTGGTGGATGGATTATAAGTGCCTGGGAAAAAAATAAAGCTTGAAGTAAATATTCATACATTACTTTGTTGTGTGCAGAGTCCTCGGATTATAGTTCATTGATGTGTTATTTTGAAATCAGTGATGTGTTTATCTCATTTGATCTTCAATGTCATTGTTGGGAGTAAGTAAATAAGCTTCGGACGCAATAATTAATGGGTTTCTACTGCTCGTGGGTATTTTCTTAGCGTGAGGAAGGTTTATGAAATTCAGCTGTTCCGACAGGAGTTGAGAATATTAACTGCTCAGCAACATTATGGATATATGTTCATCACATTATGCTACCATTTTTGTACATGACAGATGGTATGTCATCTGTTCCAGTACTACCATTAGACTTCAAAGTCTTAATCGCTGAGTTTATATTTTGTATATTAAAGTCTATTTCGCCTAATTTGTGGTTACTTTTGCAGGTCATTTGGAAATTTTGGGTCGGGTGCACTCTGGCGTCATTGCAAAACCACTCATTGAGGAGTTCACTTATAACCTGGGGATCATTGTATATTATACCCTTATGTTGCAAGCTGCTTACAGTATTGTCTTTACTGCTTTTTAGACGTTTCTGCAATATCCTACAAAGTTCCTGAGTTTTGGAGTTGCCCACAAGCGCTTTATTTTCTTCAAGTTGTGACCCCATTTTGTGTTTCTCTTCAAGCCATTTAAGAGTTTCATGTATTTGGTTTAACGCATTAAATTCCTTAAATACATGGTATTTCCCTTTCAATTTCTTTAGTTTTAGTCGCGTTTTGCGGTCTATAAATGGAGTTGGTGTCTTTAGAGCAGATTTTAGGGGCGCGATTATGTCTCTTGCCGAGCCAATTGTTTTGTAGAAAATATCAAGTGATACTTCTAAGTTATTGTTGATGAAGTATTCTTCCCAGTCAGAACTTCTCAGCAGATCTGATAGGAATTCCCAATCGGCATTCTTATAGTCCCTATACTGACAGTGCACCGGGGAATTTTTAGGTGTGTTTAGTTGTTAGTCGGAGGGGTAGCGTGCAGTACAATATGTTGTGATCACTGTTATCAAGTTTATTTCCTACCTCTATCGAGATGGGCTCTATTTCATGACAAAGGATTAAGTCAAGAGTGTTTTCATTTCTTGTAGGGAGGCGTACGCACTGCTTCCATCCGCCTACGTCTATAGCCTGTAGTAACTCGTCATGGATTCTAGGTCCTGTACAGGTATCCCAGTTTACTCCAGGTAAGTTGAAATCGCCACAGACTACTTTGTAGTCAAAGTCCAGCATAGCTGCATGCTCTAGTATTTCTCCAATAGTTATACCAGTCATTTGAGGGCTATTAGGGGGTCTGTATATACATCCCATGAGAATTTTATTTTCGTTTGTGTGGATGCTTATCCACTTAGATTCAGGGAGTTTGTCAGTAGTTGGGTTATTGAAAGTATTGGAGTTAGTGGATTTAGAGGCATATATTAAGCAGCCGCCTCCTCTTTTGTCAACTCTATCGTTCCTATAGATGTCGTAGTTGTCTATTACTAGCTTTGAGTCAGGTATATCAGTAGTAAGCCAAGTTTCAGTCACCATTATTAGTGTTGGCCGTTCTATGTATGCCAGGCAGCGAAGCGATGTTATTTTGTTCAGGAGAGATCTAGCATTCAGGAGCATAATCGTTAGTAAACCAGAGTTATTGGGGGAGAGGTTAACATGGTTACTTGTTACTATTCCTACGTTATGTTTGGAGGGGCTCTGAGGTGAGACAGAGTCAGTGTGTGTACTATTTCCTGGATGAATTGTGCAGCGAGTGGGGCTATTGTTTGCTGCATCCGAAAATAATCCTGTTGCATGTTTTGACTTTTAGCATCCATGGGTGGGTATCTGCGTTCATTTACTGGTGATATATAGTTTGCTTGACCTAGGTGCCCTGTGTTAAGATTAGCTTGGTAGTTGTACCTCATGGGTCTTTCATAGTCGTATGCATATTGGCTCACATCACATGTGTGAGTGAAGTTATTGAGAGGGTCAAGTGTCGATCTATACTCATTATGTTGCTGAGGTTCAACATAGATAGTGTGAGAGTTTGGACAAGATTATGCATTAATATGGTGCCTATATGAGCCCCGTTTAGTGCTCCTTATATCCTGATGATCCGTTCTACGTTGCATTCCCAAGTTATGTGCGTTGCTAGGCATATTACTCCTAGCTCGGGAAGCGGTGTTTTCATTCACATGATGGATGACTTTTTTGGGAATATGGCTTTTGACCCATGCATTGTCTTTTTTTAGACTGACACGTTGCTTATTAGACTTATTGAGAGGGAGGTATGTCGATGTCTGGAGTGGGACTCTAGGCTTTGTCGTCTTTCTTGCAGTTTCTACTGCGGGACTCTCGAGCTTGCATCCAGATTGAGTGTGGTCTGCCAGTGGTTTCTGGTCAGACATAGTTTGTGAGTCAATATCAACCTCATGTATGTCAGCAGGTTTTCCAGATGTGCTCTCATGTACTTACTGAGTTTCGAGTCGCTTTTACTTGCCGATTTTTTTTCCAACACTATACAGGTGACTTGCTGTGCTTCAGCGTCCGTCGACACTTTAGCACTGATACCAGGTGTAGTTCTCGGTGTGGTCAACTTTCTATCGAAGGAGTTCTTGGTTGCTTGCCTTTGGTTAGTTGTTTTATCCGAGACTACTTTAATAGTCTTGAATTTAGTGGCAGTAGCCAGAAGATCTTCGGCCTTCTTAAATCGTTCAGCTATTATGTAGCTGTCGAACCTAAAGAGTATGGGACATGGATGCTTTAGGTCTTTTTTATTTAGGCGAATGCACTGGCAAGGTGCACTCAAGAGATTTGCAGCCTTCAGCAATGAGTGCTGAACCGACTTAATGGGCTCGCTATCTGGTACATTATACACTATAGCGTTTTGTTTCGAAGCCAGCCTTTTAACAACTTCGCTGGATAGAAAGTCAATGGCGTTTTCTAACTCCTTCGCATTTTCTGAGTCAGTAGGCGTCATTCTAGAGGTCATATTAAAAAGTTTTAGGATTGTAGGATCCTGCAGTTCCTTTTTCATGAGTGAGACAGTTTCGGGTATACACTCAAATGAACTTAATTTCGCTTTTAATTCATCAATCTGTAGCTGCATCTCTTTAATAATGCATGTTAAGTAAGAGAGCTCTACTTTTTCAGACAGAACATCTTCCACCTGTATTACAGGGGTCAGAGTTATGTTCGAGTCTTTTACGTTGGGTGAACTACTAATAATAAGGGGTGGTAATGTGTTATTAGACGAGCTGGTGCTATTTTCTAAATTACTGGTGTTCACACGAACACTACTTTTAGAATTTCGGCCCATCGTTATTAAAGATCAATCAACA